GGTGTTGGGTTTTTGGCTCTGGAGATTGCTCCCTCTTCAGATTTAATGAATCACAAGCTTACTGACATTCAGGATGGTCCAAGTGCTATTTTTCTCAAGTAGGGAGAAAATTTGGTGATTTGGTTGTTTTGTGGACAATGGTCTTTGTCCTTTGCAAGATGTAATTATGTTGTGTTAGACTGGATATATGTACTCTGAGCCTTAATGTATGGTGCATGTCTTTAAAAAAACAAAACAAAAAACTACACCTTCCCTCCCCCCATAAATATCTTGCTTAATATTACTTCACTAACATACCAACCCCCCTCAGTCTCCACCTTCAAGAAATCGCTTAAAACAAGGTTGGGTATAGGTTTTTATTTGTCTCCTATTTTTGCATTTTAAATCCTTTCAGACTGTCATCTCTGCTGCTAAACTATGCTGTATAAAGTGTACTTCTGTGGTACTTAATAAATGATGATTTGAAAGCAGTTTATTTTGACATTAGAGGTCAAGTTATGTAGCTACACCAAAAGGTTCCTAACATGGTTGTCTGTCTCTATAAAACCCATCTATATACAGGCTGCTGTTAGCCCCATCCACCCTCACTTCATATACATCTGCAAAGTATGAATCGTATGTGTTGTGGAATGCAGTTTCTGTGTAACATAAAGGTCAAGCCTCTGAGCTTCGGGGTTGAATGCCCATATGTGGCTACTTTAAGATTTCTAGAACAGTCTCTCCACAGCTTTCTAGGTAAAGCAGAGTAAGGTCTAATATCTGTCTTGGGTTCCTACTGTTGGCCTTGGATTTTTCAGCCAGAATTTGGTCCACTTATACCAATATATTTTTAGATTACCCTATGAACATCTGGTTGAAATATATCGTAGAAGATTCTTATAATTTGCGTATTCTTCCAAATTATAAATACAAGCTAAAACATTTACTATTTTTCTTTTTCTAAGTGGAACCACATAATTTCAGCAGTTCTCTAGTGGTCTGTTTTTCAAAAGGATTAAAAATAATAAAGGAGCTAAAACTAATCTTAGATTTAATTGCACTACTTTTTATTTTTTTAAACATAATTTGCTGTGTATTGGCTCTTATCTATCTTGGTAAAGGAGTTATTCATGTTTTGATGTTCTACATAAGTACTGTCGTGCTTGAGTTGGTTTCTCTAAAAGTTTTAAATCAGCTTAAATTAACTATATTGTGAACTGTTTTCAGAGTAACAGCCGTGTTAGTCTGTATTCGCAAAAAGAAAAGGAGTACTTGTGGCACCTTAGAGACTAACCAATTTGAGTATGAGCTTTCATGAGCTAAATTGGTTAGTCTCTAAGGTGCCACAAGTACTCCTTTTCTTATTGTGAACTGTGTGCCATATCTCAATTTTGGCATCTCCCTCAAAATTCCTTTGAATTTCATGTGAATTCAATATGTTGAATATGGAATGCAGCCTAAAATATCTCCAAAACTAGTTTCCATGTGAGTCCACTTTAAAATGTGGTACTTCTTCAAGGGGCCTCTTCACATACCCATTCTTGATGTGCCAGAAGGCTTGGACTGGCACTTTCATGTCTCCTACCCCTGAATGTTTGAAGGGGGCATCTGTAAAAGGGATATGGCACACAGACTACATCATTTCCTTACAACTGTGATGATAGGTGGGTCAGGAACCTTGCCAGGTCCTTGGAATTGGATTTATTGGACTAGATCATTTCCAGTGCTGCTGACTTCTTTAATTAGGCATTCAGTGTTTTTTCTTTTTTTGGCTCAGGATCTGATGCAGTTCCTTTGTTCTGGTATGTTGGAATCAAAGACAAAGAAACCAGGGTTCCGGAGGTGCACCTCTTGCCCAGCATTGTTTCCTCTGCTTAATGTACTTCTGGGGGAATTCTGCAGCAGTGCGCATGCACAGAATTTACGTTCACTGCAGATCTTTGCTTTCCTAGAGAAAAATGACTTGCTGACTGGGAAGCAAAGGGAAGCCACAAGAGTAGTCATGCAACCCTCCCAAGCAGTATATTTCAGGGGCCCAGGGCAGCCAGCAGAGAGGTAAATCACTGTTGGGTAGGAGGCAGGACTAGGGAAGACCTGGTTGGTGGCTTCTATCCTGCACCGGGCTCAGCTGCTAGTCCTGGCTGGGCTGGGGGGGACAGGACTTCCTCTTCCCTTGCATGGCATCCAGGGCCAGGTCAGACCCATCTCCAGATTTCTCCCCTGGCTGAAGGAAGCTCTGCAAACTCCCTGTTCCTGCATTCCTCAGCTGCAAGGGGGGATCCCTGTACAGGGAGCTGCTCCCCCATCTGCCCAACCCCTGTGCATCCAGACCCTCCCGCCGAGCCCCACACTCAGAATCCCTCCTCTGATGAGCTCCACTTTCCCTGCACCTGGACCACTCCCAACAAGCCACCCGGATTCCCACCCCACTGAGCCCCAACAAGCTGCATCTGGACCCTCCCCTGCATCTTCCACGCACCCCTGCTGAACCCCAACCATCGCCTGGATCCCCTCAGAGTCCCATTTCCATTGCACCCAGAATCCCTCCCCAACAAGCCCCTGTGCATCCGGATCCCCCACAGAGCCGCCTGCACCCAGATTGCCCCACACAGAACCCTCTCAACCTACACCTGGATCCCCCCACACTAATCCCCTTCCCACTTCGGTCCTGCCTTGCTGAGCCTGCCCACCCACACCTGATGCACCTGGCACCGAGGGGCAGGGCCCTGGGGTGTTTCTGGGGCAGGCCAAGTTCTTGCACTTGTCGTTGTGTCAGGGTTTGGTTCAGCCTCACTGCTGAGTCCGTGTCCTGGGGGAAGCTGCACAGTGATCTCCCACCTTTGTGCAACCAGTGGCCTATGCTCCCCAATGCTATGCTGGAGCCTCCACATTTAGTTCACAAATAAAATTTGCAGAACTTTAAAATATTTTTGCTGCAGAATTTTTAATTTTTTGGCGCAGAACACTCAAGAATATTAATGGAAAGTAATTAACTTTTTTCCTTGCTCTGTGTGCATCACCCTCAGCACCAGAAAGGACTATTAGAATTGCCTCCTTGCTATGCTGTTGAGGCAGCATTAGTGGCTAAACCTTCTGGCTTTGAAATGCATGGTTTCTTAAGTGTGGTGACACCAGGTTCCGCTCTGACCTCTGAGGGGGTTAAAAAGCCTGGTATGGTGTCAATAATTATGAACCCACAAAGATTTACTCCTGGGGAAATTCTGCACCAAAAAATTCTGCGCACAATATTTTAAGATTTTGCATATTTTATTTGTCAAAATAACACAATAGAATTATGCCAGTTTCAATTATTTTGTTAATTTATTTCAAAATATCTGTCAGCAAGTATGTCTGTAAGAATACAAACCAAAACAAAGATTCTGGTAAAAAAAAAAAATTCTTCTTTTTTTTTTTTTTTGGACAAATAGATTCCTTACTAGGCATATTAATACAGAACTTTGTATTCATTTAAATTACAATATTGAACTGTGTATTTCCTGCACTCATCAGAAACAGTGCAAAGGCTTGGGGGAGTCAAGGGTAGCAGAGGAGCTGAGAGAGCGGAAAGGAGCCTGGGGTGAACTTGGAGGGTTGTTGCATGTGGGTTTGAGAAGTATGGAATGGGTTTTTTGAGGGGTAGGGGTGGTATTGTTGGGGAGCCTCCCCCATGCAGAACCTGGCTGACCCCAAGCCTCTCCCATTAAGACAGACACATCTGTCCCTGTCCCCGAACCCCTCATCCCCAGAGGTCTCTGCTGCCCCCCCATCCCCATGTGGCCTTACATCCCCACTCCCATTCAACCCCTGGCTCAAGGCTGTCACCCCACTAGTTTCTGTGCCCCCCACCAACAGCTCTGTGTGCCCCACTCTGTCTTAACCTAGCTCTGTGGGCAGGGTGCAGTGATGAACTTCTCCTCCTGAGGGAATTGCACAGAATCTTTTTTTCCCCCCCCACAGAAAATACATTCTACCCCAGAGGTGCTGCTGTTCCGCCTTTTACCCATTAGATTCTGCTGTGGTACCAGAACCGCCAGCTGTGTTCATGCTGCTGGCTGGTCTGGTGCCATAGCAGACTCTGGTGGGAAAAGTTGGAACTGCCGCACTTGGGCAGTATATATTTTCTGCTGGGGGCGGGGAGGGAGGTAGAATTCTGCACCAAACATGAATTCTGCACATGTGCAGTGATGCAGAATTCCTCCAGAAGTGAAGATTGCAAAGTGGTGGAAGCCCTAATGCTTGGGATGCTTAACATTTAAAAAGACTTCTTGTTGTGCCAATACAATATTGCAAAAGGAGAGGCCTGATATTTCTCTTCCATTTCCATCTGAGTCTAACGTCTGATTGCTGTTTATGCTACACTGCAACCAGGGCATTCCATTTAAAAGACCTTGCATCTCCAGATTTAGCTGGAGTGTTTGTTTCAAACGGGTCAGCAGTAGTGACAAATGTAAAAACAACTCGAACCTTTCAAGTATCCTTTTAAAGTTTCATTTGCAATATGGAGTGTTCAGGTTTAGGATATTAAGAGGATGTTTTGGTGCAGAGTTGCTGTTGTGGACATGCCTGTAGGAAAATGCAAATTCCAATTTTTTTTCTTTCGGATTTCTTTGGAGGATAAGAAATAGACAAAATATTTAATGAAACTGTGAACTTCAAGAAATCAAATCTACTTGCCGATGAAATATAAACATAGCAGAAGTACTGACTTGTGATGAATATGCATAAACTGTTTTAACCACTGATACAGTACCAGATTATATAAAAGGTTGTGTACAGTTGGTTCAACAGAACCAGAAAACAGAAGTTCAGCATAGTTAGACAAACTTTCAGTATTGTACAACAGATATGAGATACTTGTAAATGTTTGATTGTCCAAGTCCTGTGGATTTAAATATCTCTTCCTTTCCCACTCCCTCCCCAAACTGATTAGAGCCTTTGTTTGTGTAGTATGAAACATACATGTGACAATTTCATGTGAAACTCTTCTGTTCCTGCTCAGTCTTAAAATGTTTTCCTTTCAGATCAAATCAAAGACAAAATTAAAGAGAGGGACAGAGAGAAGCAGAAAGAAAAGAAGAAACATAAAATAATGAATGAGATCAAGAAAGAGAATGGAGAGGTCACATTATTGCAGAAAGGTATGTTCAAACGAAACAGTATTCATCTGTAATGTGTTAATGTCTAAAATTATATATTTCCAGTGAATGCTGAATTTTAGTGCCACTTTTCATGTTTTAATTAAAAGCCCATTTTCCAGATGGTTATAATGAGGCAGTGTAAAGTTTACAAATTGAAAACTGAAAATCCGCTTTTGTCATATGTGCTATTAACAGGAAAAAAGTATGTTCTCCCTGTTACCATAGTTTAAATGTCCTATACATCATACTAGTGCTATAAATTACATAATTTAAGATAGCTGCATCTTTTGTTATGGTTTTTGTACCTAAATATTACTGAAACTAACATTAGGCTGCAAGGTCAAGAACTCAAGTTAGGAAATGCCAGAATTAAGATTAGGAGTACTTGTGGCACCTTAGAGACTAACCAATTTATTTGAGCATAAGCTTTCGTGAGCTACAGCTCACTTCATCGAACGCATACTGTGGAAACTGCAGAAGACATTATATACACAGAGACCATGAAACAATACCTCCTCCCACCCCACTCTCCTGCTGGTAATAGCTTATCTAAAGTGATCACTCTCCTTACAATATGTATGATAATCAAGTTGGGCCATTTCCAGCACAAATCCAGGTTTTCTCACCCTCCGTCCCCCCCACACAAACTCTCCTGCGGGTAATAGCCCAAAAAAAGGGCGAGGGGGGGGTGAGAGAACCTGGATTTGTGCTGGAAATGGTCCACCTTGGTTATCATACACATTGTAAAGAGAGTGGTCGCTTTGGATGGGCTATTACCAGCAGGAGAGTGGGGTGGGAGGAGGTATTGTTTCATGGTCTCTGTGTATATAATGTCTTCTGCAGTTTCCACAGTATGCATCCGATGAAGTGAGCTGTAGCTCACAAAAGCTTATGCTCAAATAAATTGGTTAGTCTCTAAGGTGCCACAAGTACTCCTTTTCTTTTTGTGAATACAGACTAACACGGCTGTTACTCTGAAACCTAGAATTAAGATGGTCTCTGCAATCTTAATTTGGCCACCTTGTACCTATGCATTATGATAGTTTTTGGGGTCATTGCTATAGGATTATTAGTTAGCCTGTAAAGAGGAGAGAGAAGCCCATTCTCAAGTTATTGGGAATTCACTTCACTCTGAAATAATCCAAGTTTGTTTGACCTTTAGACATATTGCAATGTGTCTGTGCATTATAATAGTGTTATAATTACGTGATTCCATTTGTTTTCCTACTGGACCCCTGCGTCAGTCAGTGCACAGGATGGACAGTGTTCATTTAATGAACAGCTATTCAATATTTTGTGTTTTCTTCATTGTTCAATGTGGCACCCCAGGCCTTTTTTACTGCACACTATTCAAACCTGCTCTGAAAGCAGAATTATTAATTTCCTTATCGGCTTTTCTATGGCACTCATCATAACAGTGTCTACTCCTTACGAGCATTAATTTATCTGCACAGAATCCCTGAGAGGTGAGGGGCATTATCCACATTTTGCAAATGGGGTGTTGAGACAGATATATTCAGATCAAAAGTATCCACTAATTTTGACAACTGTGAATATGCACAGGCTGCTTCAGTTGTATTGCAGCACATGGAGCTAGATGAATTCTGTATTGGACTTCGTGTGTCACACTACCAAGCTGATGTGGGAGCAGGAAAATATTCTATGGTAGCAATAACCACTCCTCTAGCAGCAGGAAGATATTCTGCAGTGGTGGCAGCAGGACAAGGTGGTAGAACTGGAGACCGCCATGATGTTTGGAAAGGAGGACCAGTTCCTTGGATAATCTACATAGCATTTTGTGTCATTTTTGGGCCAGGAAAACTAACGTGGCTTAGTGGGAGAAGATGGTTCTGCAGAGCAAATGACCAGCAGTGGCAAGAAGACTTCAGAGCAGCAAGGATTACCTTTTTTGAGACCAGTATAAAACTGACCCAGGAGCTTCAGGGACAGCATACCAATGTGCACTGCCCCATATCTGTGGAGAAACAGGTTGGCATTGCCATCTGGAAGTTGGCCACTCCAGAACATTACCAGTCTGTAGCCAACCAATTCAGTGTGGGGAAATCCAACTGCTGGGACCATTCTCATGCAGGTCTGCTATGCCATTAAGGTGCTGTCTAACCAGTTCAGGAAGCTAAGTAATGCTCAGAGGTGATTGATGCTTTGCATGCATGAAGTTCCTAAACTGAATTGGGCACATGGATTCCATCAATTGCCCCATCATTTCCCCCCAATCCCTTCCCTCCCACCTGCTGTGGTGCAGCATTTATAAACCGAGAGAGAAGATTGTTTCTTCGTGGCGCTGCAGGAAATGGTGGACCACCGTGGCAGGTTTACAGACATAAATGTAGGGTGGTCTAAAAGGATCCATGATGCTTGGATCTTTCAGAACTCAGTCCTATTTAAATTAATGGAGGAAGAACTGTGTGCCCCCCAAGAGTAATGTGGACATTAATGGTATGGAGGTTGGTCCGGTTATTCTGGGAGATCTGGCTTATCCCCGGATGCCTTGGCTATTGAAGCCATATGTGAGCTGCTTGGACAGAAGGAAGGAATGTTTTAATTATCACCTGAGTAGTTGCTGGTTGGTGGGCAAGTGTGCATTTGGCCATTTGAAAGGAAGATGTTGCTGTTTGTGGAATAGGTTGGAAGCAGCCGAAAAAGATGTTCCAACCGTTATAATTGCATGTTTTGTTTTTGGAGAATAGTTGAGAGAGACAGAGGAAAGCCTTACTGATGAATGGGAGACTGGGGTGTGGAGACTTGCTCTGAGGTCTGAGCAGACAGTAGGGATTCCACAGAGAACATAAACACCCATAGGAATGCTGTCAGGGATGCCTACTGTTTTTTGTATTTTGAGTCACATGCCTGAACATGTTAGCCTGAAGGGATGGGGTGGGTGGTGAGATGCAGATGTGAGTACTGGGGAACATTGTGTGCATGTTTTGAAGTTTAACTTTCCTTATGTGCTTTTGTAAAACGCTGTGAATTATTTCAACTTTATTTCAAGGATTCTTTGTTTTAAATGTAGTGATGATTCAGGCTGTATTGTAAATGGTTATTATGAAATTTTAATGAAACCAAAGGAAAAATATCTTTGGTTAGTTAAATGTTTCTAAATACAATATTAACCAACTGTACACATGTTTAATTACTGCAACAGTGCAAACAGAACTCAAAGTGCAACAGTAAGAACATTTCAGATACCACAATTTGGTGAGGGAGATAAGTGACTATAAGCCTTGGCTTGGATTTTGGGGTTGAGTACCTCTGCTCAAACTTATCAGGGTTGTTGCAAGGTTTAAAAGAGCTGGACTCCCAAGTGCTAGTGTTCTTTGTGCCCAGAAGTTGGATCTGTCGTGAATGATCACAGCTTCTGGGAGCACTGCTGTGGGGATGAAGAGGTTAGGAGTTGCTGCTGGTCCCAATGGACAGCAGTGTGCAAGGGCTGAAGGACATGGCTGGGTCCCAAATTATGGGAATGCAGGGCCTGTTGGCCTATCAAGAGCATGTTTTGCAGAAGGGCATTCTGGCTCAGGAGAGTGTCCATGAGTTGCTTCTGCATCTGCTTGTTCCATGCTCTTTGAGCATGGTGATTCTGTTCTTGGCCTCTGCCATGATCTCCTGAAATAAGTGCATTTCTTTGTCCTTTTGATTATTCTTGTAAAGCCTCCATCTCTCAGCCAGCCTGGCTTTCCTCTGTGACTCTGGAATGAATTCTGAAAACATGTTGTCCCTAGTCGTCGTCTTTCTCCCCCTCCAGATTGGCCAGCCTGTGAGTAGTAGATATAGAAACGTTGTCCTTGATTGTCTGGCTGTTGCAGGTGCTGTGGCGGTGGGGGTGGGGGGAACCTTAGCTTATTTTGTTTGGGCTGTGAACAATGAGAATCATGATTTAAGCATGTCTGTGATCTTGCCTTGACTCTTCCCATTCTTGGAAGAAATTCAGAGATCTAAGTGGTCAGAGTGTATTTGGATTTCAGTGTACTGTCTGCTTCTATGCTGTTAGGGGTGAGGGTGGCTCCAGGTTTGTTTGCAGTTTTGTTTTCATGCTGGAAGTGCTGTTATGGTGTCATAGGTTTAAAGAGTGGGCTATGGGGTTCTTGGGAGGTGAGCTGGATTGTAATTCCCTCTACATCTAGGATGTCCTCATTTTCAATGACATCATGCAGAGGTGGATGACTAGGAGGTAGAAAATGGTCTTATTCAAAAAGGCAAAAGGCAGACCAGCAAGATAGGCTGTGAAGTTATTTACCAGGATGATTTATCTCCAACCCCACAGATGCACTGTAGGAGTGGAAGGGGCTTGCAAGCTACACTGGGCGGCACGGGCATGTGGCTATTAATGTGTGAAACAAAATTGAGCTATTTCTCCATGTCTGCAGAGGAGATCTAGCAGAGCTTAAGACTGAGAGTGTGTAGAGAAGAATAGATAGGGTCCTACAATGACTGTCCGCTACAGTGTGCATTACAGGGCATTGAACTTCAGTGTGGAGCAGTATTGTTTGTGCCTTGACCAGGGATGCAGCGTGCACTTGTGCATCAGGTAAACTAAGAAAACTAAACAGATTTCTTTTCCTGTGAGCACTGTCTCAATAAGCTGTTGAATTTTGCACAAAATGCTTTCGTTATTCAAATCTGTTGTGGGAGAGGTGTTGAGCAGACTGCGACTATGCCATGCTGGTGGGTGCCATTTTGAAGCATGTAAAAGGGGGTAGAGGAAGGGAGAGGTTCTTAGCTCACATCCACCAACAATAATAATGAATTGTAAAGATAGGTACTTACATGCTGAAATTCCCTCTAGAGGATGTGATACCTTGTCCCCTGCCTGGGTTTCTGGTTGGAACTCAGGATCATCCAGTGTAGAACAGCAATTGTTGCAGTGCAGGATGGAGACTGTCTTTCCAGATGGTCCTGAGTCTCAAAAGATCCTGGCTGTCAGGGGGCAGCTCTTCTCCAGCATCATCCTGCTCATCCTCTGATAGGTCTAGCTGGTCATC